ATCTTTTACTTTATACTACGCGTTTCTCATCTTTTATAGATATATATATTTATCTCTCGTAAAAACAAAAATTTTTTGTTGAAAATTCTACGTAGTTTTTTTACATTTTCTATTTAAACATGGATAATTACAATAGTATAGTGTTTCTTTTTCTTTTTTTTTTTAATCTTTACATTAATTTACGAGTAATCTAAATATTCATAAGTAAAAAATCTGAATCTTTTTTAATGCAGTACTATCGAAAAAAATCACTTTGTTTCTAAACAAATATAAATCTTTTAGATTAAATTTGTGTGTCTTTTCGTGTAGATCGTAGATAGTTACAATTAAATAATTATATTCAATAATATATAAATATCGAGAAAAAATAGATTACATATATTGGATGTTTCAGAACATGTGGATTTCAGTATATTAAAATAAAAAAAAAAAGTTCTATAAAAACATATGCCCGATATGAGCTTGTTCCCGAGATATAGCTGTTTTTTAATTATGTCAATTGTTTAACTGCATTTAGAGAAATTTCTCGGAGTTATTATCTTCGGTTCGAATATTAGTTTTTAGATCAGCATTTCTCAACTTATGAGCCGCGTTCAATTGTTAATGAGTTATATGAAATAATATCCCCTTCTTGTGAAGGCCGAACCGAGGAGAGTGAATTAATTTTTTCAATATTTCTACAATATTTTCATAAAATATTCTTGCAAGAAGATAATGAAAACAGCTGCATTTATAAAATAATATATAATGACTACAGTCTATCAAGATCTTAAAAACTTTACATTATGAATATTTCTACTGCATTATCATTTCAAACATATGTATTGGATTGCATGATAAAAAAAAGAATCGGAAAACGTCGTTCTGAATGTCTTATCATTTTATTCTAACTCGTTTCAGTTATATGGAAGTTACTTCATACTGTTTGAATTTATTGGGCAATCCTTGAATAATAAATAATGTCGGAGTATTTTAACTTTATCTACTGCTGTATTCTAATGTAATCATTTTCTAAATTAACACTAACCGTGTTTTAATTGTAATCGTAAATCTGAGGTATCACCGCAGATAAAAGTCCTCCCACAACCAATTCAGCTTATCAAAAAAGTTATTAAAAGACAGAAATTCGATTGAGAATCTCAGAGATAATATCATGTCGATAATTTATATCATATCATTTATATGAACTTCTTTTCTTATTTTAATATGCTCAATCCACTGGTGAAATTATGTCCACACGTTTCGAAACACATTGTGTGTGTGTGTGTGTTTGTATAATTTACTTTTCTCAACAGTTAAATATTATTGAATATTATTATTCGATTGTAACTATTTTCGTAAGACATGTAAATTTATTTTTTTTATATTCATATTACACAATATTTAAATATCGAGAAAAGTAGATTAGATGATATAATATATATATATATATATATATAGTGTTTCATATTAAGTTTCGCACTTAATTATTTTCCAAATTATAGCACGTTTCAAATAATTTTTCAAACAAAACTTACCTTGCTTTTGGAGGCGACGCCTTATGGCGGTAACAACTATTTAGATATACGTGCTTTCGACATTTCAAGGTGACTTTTGTCGTTTTATATGAATCTGTATGTTTATATTTAGACAGGCGTGTACCTCATTCCAAATGGAATTCATTGACCATAACACTTTGGGCTTTCAAGGTAGTTCAAGTTCCATATATAAAAGAAATAATGGTCGCCTTGAAATTTCGAAAACACGTCCACCTAGAAAAGATTCGTGACGACTGTAACATCCTTTTAACACCCTCCCTCTCTCTCCATAAAACAGGATAAATTCTATCTGAAATATTTTTTTATTCGTCCTATAATTTGGAAAATAATTGCGCAAAAAATTTCCAATGAAACATCTTGTATATATTCTTTTCTTTTTTTTTTTTTTTTAATTCTTTTTAACAAATGAACCTAGGAGTAAAATAATAAAGTTACAAGAATATGCTATATAACAATTAATTCGAAGTCTCTCGTTAAAATTTCTTTTGAAATATTTGTAACTTGCGTTTCTCATTATCGAACTTTAATTGTAAAAGTTCGCTCTTTATAAAAAAAGAAAAAAAATGAAAAAATACTCAAAAGCATGAAATCGCAAGGTAAGCGCATTTGTTTTCTTCAACGGCGAAAGGCAAGATGATGGTTCGAAACAATACCTCGACTTAACAGCTGTAAACGAAGGTGGCGATAATCAGCGTCGTCTTTCACGAAGGCAAGTCGAATGCATAATGATTTTATGCATTCAGTCACGTTTTAGTGTCTCCTTCGATGCCCTCTCCCTTCCTATTTTTCCCTCCTCCTTGTATCTGTCTCCACTCCCTTTCTCTGTTCTATTCATCCAAGTGATCCCCAAGAGAATTAGACTTTCTAATGATGGTCTAAACAACATGAGGATTATTGTTGTATGCACTTATATTTACTAAAAATAATGAAAATACAAACTATAAATATATTACAAACTATAAATGTATTACGTAATAAATACAAAAATATAAACTATAAGTATGTATTATGTAAGAAAAACATAGATCAAAAAAAAAGAAAAAATAAATAAAAATAAGAAGTCAAATATTATATATCGTATGCATATTTATATCTATAAATATACCTATATACCTATGTATGTTTAATTTATTATAAACTTTTTTTATCAGTTTAATATTTATTTAGTAATTTTTTATTATCGATCAGTAATTATTTAGAACAAATCGGTTAAAAAAAAATATAACTTTTAAATTGACATATTAAATAACACTTGTGAAAAATCAACATGTCACTAACACACACTTTTCTATTTGTCCACGTTCATGCACTCGTAACGGCAGCGAAAAAGCAAACTTTCTCTCTTTCTGTTTCTCTCTATTTTTTTTTTCTTTTTTTTTTTTTTAATCAAAGGTATCTATGTAATGTCAATATAGAATATCGGAAATATATAGAATAATATGGAAGTGACATAAAAATATTCGATAAAATTGATTTTACGTAACATCATATGTGCGTACATTTTTGTTATTTATACATCTATGTATATTATATACAATATATATATTAATATATATATATATATATATCATTTTTTCTTTCCTCATAAATGATTCAATAGCTTGAATATTGGTTAATAACATAAAGAAAGCGATAAAAGAATTTATGGGATAAAAAGAAAAAAGAAAAAAAATTATTCTGAACATAAATTTCAAACGCACGTAAGTAAGAAATAAAAATTTTAAAGCGAAAAAGCAATTTTTCTTTTTATAGAGTCATATATCTCGGATAATATAAAACTAGGCAACATATTTATCTCTCTCTCTCTTTCTCTGTTTCTTTCTCTCTCTCTCTCTTTTTCTCTCTCTCTCTCTCTCTCTTTCGCTGTTTCTTTCTCTCTCTCTCTTTCTCTCTGTCACTCTCTCTCTCTCTTTCTCTCTCTCTCTCTCTCTTTCTCTCTCTCTCTCTCACTTAGTTTTCATCGAAGTAAGACTATTCGAAACCAGAGACGAGATTCTCGAGCTCCAGTCATTTCAACTTTTCTTGTTTGACTTGAAAACAAATTCAAAAACAGATGCCTACTTTATCTCTCGATTATATAAAAGATGAGATTAAGTCTCCTTAATTACCGGTATAAGAAGATACATACTTTTCCTCGTTTAATAAAGAAAATTTAATTGATCCATGTAGAGTTAATTCCATAAGAAATATTACGTTCTTCTTTTTAGCTCATCGAAAAAGATACGATAAAAATGTTTACAATAAATGTAATATGCCCTTGAATGATTACGATATCAACAGTCGAAGAACATATCACAAACGACATTTACAGAGTAAGTAAATATTGCGTTGAAAAGATATTCTCCATTAGTTAATACTTATTTCTTCTGTGTATATTTCATTCGAAGGAAAGCCATCTTCAATTCGTTCGTTTGATAGTGAGTGACTTATTAAAGATAATACAAAATAAAAAAAAAAAAATAAAGAAATAAGAAAAAAGAAAAATTGGAATAAAGATATTTATCGTTCGTTATCAAAAATAATTTTAAACGAACAGTCATATAATATTCAATATTTTTATTACCATAGAATTATTGTGTGTAATTTAACGAGCATTCTGATGCTTTACAAAATTTACTGTAAATTAATGCGACACAAGATAATACGAGATGTTGGTCTTGTACAAATGCCTTGTAGTTGGGAGTAGGTCTTCGTGTTTCCAAGACCCGATTCAAACTCAATTAACGAGCTTACAGAGTGCCATGTAGGCGACTACAAGAGACCGAGTGAAGCTATCATGTAAACCGGGTCGTATGTTTTCAGGCACTTTTGCTTCCAACGTTCCAATTTTTGTTCGTTTCTTTCTTTCCTTTTTTTTTCTTTTTTTTCCAGACTGCCCTCGAATTTTTTAATTTATTTTTTCGCAGTATTGATTCGCGCTTGTCCGTCATCGAGAATTTCGACATTCCAAGATTGCGAATTTTTCGATATTGGTGTTCAATAACGATTTTCGAAAAATAGCGAAATACCAGTGAATTTTTCCTCTATTCTTTTCACGATTTGAATGTAACGTTCGTTGAATCTATTGACCGCGACCATTCTTTCCTTTATACGGGACGAAATTCTCGTTTGATTTCACTTTTATGATTCTACCATTAGATAAAAATGGATAAAAGCTAAAGATCTTTTTTTTTTTTCTTTTCTTAAATGTACCAAAGAAAGGATCAAATATTTTGTATTATAGTCCGAATTTATAACGTTAACCATTTAATAAAAGGAAAAAAAAAACAGAAAAAAAGAAAAGAAAAAAAAGAAAAATTGTTCCTTCAAGATGGCAAGATATGCATCTTCAGTCGGTAAAGAAAATCATGATCTCTGATCACGAGAGAGAAAGAGAGAGATAGAGAGAGAGAGAGAGAGAGAGAGAGAGAGAGAAGGTTCAAGGTTGATCGAGCGTCGAGTGAAAGCCACAAGTATCCGGAATCTCGTACGTGGAAGACGTATTATGCGCAGTATGGTCTCAATTGAATATTCCTAGATCGTTGAAACGGTTTAATTTCGATCGAGATCGCGATTAAATTATCAAAAAGATCATATAGTCATTCGGTATTATAAATTTTATTAAATACGAGAAAGTGACGATCGTGAAATTGACAATCGACGAGATTGAGATCACGTTTTATCAGATATCTTTCAAGGTATATCTCTCCTACTTAAAGAGATTTTAATTTATTCAGTTTTTTCTCTTTTTTTTATTTTTTTTTTTTTTTTAATTTAATTTCTCATACAATCGGACAATTTGTTGTGCGTGTGTGTCGAAATTGTGACGCTAGATGTCAAGGATCAATGATAATATCTTCTTAGCGTACTTCTCACTGTGATATCTTTCATTCTTAGTTTTTATTTGTTTTTCCTTTTCTCTTAATTTTCTTGAAACCTCCTGCTTGAAAATATCTCCTACTCTTGTTATTGAGTTACATAATAAAACGTTAATGAGTATTTGTAAGTGGAACAAAGTTTTTCTGTGTCGCGAACAGATTTTACTCACAAACAGGTGTCTACTGTACTATTAGCTCGTGTGTTGTTCCGCTTAGATATTGAAAGGTAACTTTATGGAATGGATTCAAGGCTGAAACGAAAGCTTATGATTCATCATGTATCAAGTATGAGCAGCAATTGTTTTGTCTCGTGAGATTAAAACGATGCTTTACAATGTAATTAGGTCCGTACACGAAGATGATGTTTGTATATAAAATGAGAGGAGAAATCACTATGTATTTTATTAATCATGAAAGAAACAAACGATGAACACGTGTTTTTTCTTGTTTTTTTTTCTCTCATGAAATTCACTATTGATTTCAAAGGAAATCGATCACTTCTTTTTTTATTTATTATTTATAATCATATTGCAAGAAACATTTTTTTCTTTTTTTTTATTTATTTTTATCCCACGCAACTTACATAATATATTATATATATATATATATATATATATATTTGTATGTATATATATGTATTTCGACGAGCGTACGTATGATTTACAATCAATACAGACAATAGTCGAATATCCGGCAATTTTAGTTTCCCTATAATAAAAATCACTTAAATTACGGCATAGAGATCGATTTTGTAAAGTTTTCCAAAGTAAAAAAAGAAATAAAAAAATAAAATAAAAAAGAGAAGAATAAATAGAACAGAAAAAGAAACGATTTATCCTCATAGAAAACAAGCATATCGAAGAGGTATATTTAATAAATTATTCACAATCTTTTTATCGAAATATATTAAAATGTCGCAATATATTTAAATAACCGTGCTATCAAAATACATCTCGAACGTACGATTTATCCACAATCTCGTAAAACAACATTTGATTATACTTACCTGTTAAATGGGAATATAATAATTACAACGAGAGAAGGAAATTCTCTCATTATGATCAATTTCTTAAATGGAAGTCTCGTTTTCTGGATCGCATTGGGAAATAATCCATCGCGTCCTTTTCCTTTCTTCTTTTGCAGGATTAATCCTTTGAATTGGAGTTCCTCGTCAAGGATTCAAGGCGATAGACACCACGGATGACGTTACTTATTGTGAAGTAGAAAGAGAAGAAGGTGGAAGAGGAGGAAGAGAAAGAAAAAGAAGAGCAGCCGCTAAGTGCGGTAGACTGCGCATTCGCGAAAAGGGGAAGGACGAACGACACAAAGAGAAAGATATATATGCGTATACACGTACACATATACATATATATATAAAGAAAGGGAGTGTGATTACATGTATATATATAAAGAGAGAGAGAGAGACAGAGAGACACTGAGAGAGAGAGAGAGAGAGAGAGAGAGAGAGAGAGAGAGAGAGAGAGATAGAGGGAGATAGAGAGAAAAGGGGTAGGATCGTTGGTGTAGAGTGCGCATGCGCAGAGAATTTCCCGGGAATCGGGTCTTTCCGGGTCTCCGACACGGATTTCCCACTTTCGTTCGTCACTTGAGCGCCCGAGTCGGCGACGTGCGAGACACGGCAACAGGTGACGAATATTCGCGCCGGAGAGTTTATTATCAAGAGAGAGAGAGAGGGAGAGAGAGAGAGAGAGAGAGAGAGAACATTTCAATCTTCTCGATAATCGATTCTTCTTACTCGCAAGAAATTCAACGATAATTTCATTTTTCGAGTAAATTGTTCATTCTCCTCGTTTATTTCTTGATATTCTCTTGCTTTAAAATTTCACGAAAAACGAACGAACGAACAGAAAGGAAAAGAAGATTTTTGTTTGTTAATTAAATCAATTTGATCTAACGCAAAATGAGTGTCGACGACGTGATCAACTATAAGCCTGACGAGGACGAGGATCTTTACGCTCTTCTATCCTGCGATGAGTCAGCGACGGTAAGGATCTCGATAATTTATCTATCTAAATAATAATCATTCATAGATATATATTTAGGATTATCGAATTATTGAAAAAATTTAATTGTATTTACGATTTACTATCGAATTTTCGAATTGTTATGATTTGTATAATCGAATTTGTTTATTCATTTTGAAATGTTGATCGAAACCGAAAGGTTAACCGAAACGTTAAACGATAAATAAAATTATGGTTACACTTTATTATTGAATTATTTTTGTATTATTTTGTTTATATTTAATTTTGTAAGCGCGATGAAGTTTAAACGTTATACGTTAAATTAAGTATAATTAAATTCGAAAATGTATTTTAATAAAATTAAATGTTAAACCGTAATTCAAATATTTTAATTGCCATTTTAATCTTTTTATCGATATTATCAACGAAGGTTAAGGATCAGAAATATAATATGCATGCGAAGTACGATTTAAACCTTGCTAAATAAAATTCTAAAAAATTCGTGTATTCACCTTAGGACACTTTCCTACTTGTACTGTCCTTTAATACGGCTTTTAATGTAAAATGTGAAGGCGATAGTTTCACTTAAAGAGCGACTTGAAGGCTCATATTAATATTTTACCGTACCTTGTCACTTCAATTTCGTTATCGTTATCGACGATTACGACTTTTCTCTATTTTTTTCTCGACGATTACAAAAGTTTTTTTTATTATAAAATAATCGTCATAGGATAATTCGATTACTTTAAATCTATTTGATTACATTAAAAGCCGTATTTTTATTCCGAAATGAAAAGATCGTATTTGTTATATAAATGTGATTATATATTTCGAACTGTTTATCATTTTTAATAGTATTATTATTACTATATTTCTGAGGTAAAATGATTAAAATTTTAAAGATGTTGTTGTTAACGTGCATTTTGAACATGTGTGAGGTGTTTATTCTATTCTTTTTTGTATTCTTAAAAAAAGAAATACTTAACGTTATAAATATTTCGTTCTAAATGAATTAGGTCAAGAAATAATTATTGAGAGACAGTTTATAGGTAACCAATGCTCGTTCCTTTACTCTTTTCTCGTACTTATGAATTTTAAACTGAAAACAAAAGATCACTTATTTCATGCATGCATTTGTAACATTATCAAAGGAGTACCGTTATTTTTTTTCTTTTCTTCTTTTTCCCTTTTTTCTTTTCTTTTTTCCCCTTTTTTCCTCTTTTTTTGCAAATAATGTACTCTCGTAAAATGTGCCCGGTAGTCCATTGAAATCGCGAAAAGTTTTGAACAAAAGGGGGCACCATTAAATTCAACGGAGTATTGCGATGGACGCTATTAAACGGAATTCATCCACGACAAAAAACAAAAAGAGAAGGAACAAGAATACGTATTTAAAAATTTCATTACATTTGATATCATACAGTGATTTTCCAACTTGCTTCGTCTAATTTGCCTTTAGATTTGCCGTTGAAAATAACTCTTAAATGTTTTTAAGATCGATTCTTCTTATTTTTTTTTTCTTTTAAAGAAAATGTCACAATCATATTTTTTTTTTCATCGAATCATTTCTCACGAAATTACGTTAATATCGATCGGTTCGATTGAATTTCACGTCAAATTTTTTAGCGATAAAATAATAATTGCAAACTGATAACAGTTTCGTGATTAGGAGGATTGTTATGCGCATATACGTAAATCTACTAGTAGAAGTTATTTGATCTACTTCTTGCACCTGTTTTATATACAAATACGATCATCGTTTATCGATAATCGTTTGCGATTATTAAACATCGTTAGAAAAGACAGAGAGAGAGAGAGAGAGAGAGAGAGAGAGAGAGAGAGAGAGAGAGAGAGAGAGAGAGAGAGAGAGAGGGAGAGAGAGACAGATAGATAGAAAGACAGACAGAGATAGAGAATAATTCTGATACCAGTAGGATAATTAGCATGAAAAGGATAGAACTCTGATTGTCCATCTCAACCTCGAATTTGAGACCGAAATTTAATTCCATTCGAAGGTCGCATGCAATTTGGACGACTCGTAACATCGTTTATTGTGCGATAATTTTAATGACAGGTGAAATGCACCGTGCAATCTTTCTTGATTAGCTTGCTATATACATGGTTTTTAACTAGAATAAAAAATTCAAACTCGAAGTAATCAATGAAATTTATTTTTTCATTTATTTCTTTTTTTATGAACATGAAATATATATATATAGCGAATCATTATTTCCATTTGTTTGTTCGTCCTTTTTCTATTTTGTTTTTTTTTTATACATAGTAATAAAATAAATTTCCGATAAGATTGCAAAAATATTTATCGATTCATATAACTCATAGAATTGTTTAAAGTTGAATTCATATTATCTTCAATAAATGTTACTGACCTATGTTGATAAATCGAGTTAAACAATGAGTCTTTATCTCTTGAATTTTTTTCTTTGTTTCTTTATATATCCTAACATAGAAATAATTTCAATATTTCGTAATCAAACAATGCTCATTAATGATTGAACATTCTGTCAAGAAAATAATGAACTTCATACAATTAATATTGAAGAAAAATTTATTTACCTCTTTTTTTTTTGATTTTATGCCATAGGTCGAGCAAATCATAGCAGAATACAAGGCATTAGCCCTACAGTATCATCCTGATAAAAATGCCGGTGACAAGGAAGCCGAAGCAAAATTTCAAAAACTTAAAGTATGTATTTCTTTTATCCGTAGAATAAGCGACGTTAGAAAATTTTTATCGGCCGATTTTATTTTCGACCTTATTTTAGAATGCCAAAGAGATTCTATGCGACCCAGAAAAGAGGAGCAACTACGACAAGTGGCGGCATAGCGGTATTTCCATTAGCTACAAGCAGTGGCTTGGCATGAAGGAACACGTTCATCAAGTAAGTTGAAAAGAAATAAAAAAAAAAAGAAAAAAGAAGAATATTCATAGTCCGAGAAATTTAACCTGTTAACCATTAACGGGAATAAAATTATAAGAGTGAAGTTTTTTCGGTTGTTGTTATAACAAAAAAAAAAAAATTTTTAATTTCTTCAAAACTTTGGTTTCATTTTAACGCAAAATTAATTTGGCGATCAAGTTAATGTTGAAAACATTTTCGAAGATCGAACATTGAATTTACGAGACATTTTCACGCATTAAAATACTCGTGGAATTTTAAATATGTGGTATCTATTATTTAAATAAATAATAATATAACGTAAGTATGATTTTCTCCTTTTGTTATTTTTTTTTCTTTTTTATTTTTTTTTCGAAAATAAAAAGAAGATGTAAAGCTTATACAAAGATAAGTTTTATGAAAATCCATAGTAAATTATTGAACGTAAAACGTTTGGTTGTGTAAACGTTTGAAGAAAATATAGGTAAATAACTTGCCCATGAGCGAGACTTTATGAAGGTACCATGTTTCGAAGTACTTACTTAAATATATGATCAAACGAGACTTCATAAACAACAGTCCCGTAAACTTTTGCATTTTCTCCGAAGTTGAGGCGCGTGTATACATGCATACGTACTTGTGGAATAAATCTTGAGTTTGCACTTCCTTTGACTCGATTTACCTTCTCATTATGCGAAATGTGAACATTGTTTGAAAATAATATACTGTGACGGTTTTGCGTGTTGTAAGGAAGCACGCTTTAGAAAGTGTAACAAAGACGTAAAAATATTTATAGAACTTTTTCTTTTTTTTTTTTGTTTTTCAAAAATTTCTAGAAGTCTCATAGAAGTCTTATAAAGGTAAATCTGAATGTGAATATGAATGGATCAATAAATGATCATAAGTCGCTACAACTTAATTAAAAATAATATTATTTTAATGCAACTTCCTACGTAATTTTTTAAATCATAAAATATTATTATAAATTATAAAATATTATATATAACTAGAAACAATTTATGATATTTTTAAGCGTACGTCATAGTAGCCTTTAACGTATGACTACATTACTACTCTTAAAAAAAAGGAAGTTAGAAAAAATAAATAAAGAAAAGAGGGTGAAAAAATAATGAATGAATTCGCAGTCGATGCATTGGAGTACACCAAAAACGAAGGACCGGATGTTGCCGGATGGAAGTACTGTTGGCGGTGGAGGGGGAGGTGCCGAGGGTTCACCAGGTCACGTGAAAGGTCAGGCCCCGAATGCTCACAGAAGGGCCAGCGAGGGTGGGGCTAACATTTACTATGGTGCTCGGCGTGACATCGAGTGGGACTCGCAGGCCTCGAGCGAGGTCGTCAACAAGTTTCGTAACTATGAGATCTAAAATTTTGAGATCTATAGAAGGACGACGATCGTTTATGGAGGATCCTTCCTTTTTCGTATCGCACAGGATCAAGCTCGATCGTCACATAATTCTAATTATCTTTCTTGCTCTCTGTTTGACAATGAAGATGATTCTTTCCAACAATAACAACAACAATACATCTATACGTATACAAGGTGTTCTATTTTAATCGATTAACGTTATATTCGTTGTATGTAAAATAATCTTTAATGGTGTTGGAAAGAAGTCGATTAATTATTCTTTCTTTTTATACTTTTTAATTATAATTTTTCAATTGACTTCAATCGAAAGAAAATCGATTTAAATGGGACACCCGTAATATACGAGAAAGGAGCGCCGTATTACACGTACATATACATAGACAAACACACTTAAACGTATACATACCTCCTTGTGCATTTATCGTTCATCACTGTCCAACCAACAGCAGGAAAATGGCTCGGAAGATGATACTAAGGACGTCTAATTTTTTTTCTCCCATATCGAGAACAATTTATTTATATTACTGTTTTCTTTCTTTTTTCTCTTATCTTTTTACTTTTTTTTTTATTCTCTCAGGAAAAATAATCTTGATAATTTAAATGTCTAAAATATATTTTTTTTCTTCCAAGAGAATTTGCTCCAGCAAATCGTTTCTTCAAAAAGAATGATTATCGTCAACCCTTGAGGGACAGAAATAAAAAAATATTTCTTTGAAGGATCTTTCTCTCTCTTTCTTTCTCTTTCTCTCTCTTTTTCTCTCTCACTCTCGCTTTCTATCGCTCTCTTTCTCTCTCTCTCGCTTTCCCTCGCTTTCCCTCGTTTTCTCTCGTTCTCTCTCGTTCTCTCTGAAGTGAGAGAGATGAGTCATGTCGCGAGCTCAAGGAAAATACGAGAGTACAACAACAGTACGGGGTTTATGGTATTTAGTTATTAATTTTTTTTGCTCGTCTATTCGAACTTATTTAATGTTGATCTCGCGTTAATAAATAAACGAATTCAATCCTTCTTTCCCCTATGGAAATTTCCTAATAACACGAATAGTTATTATTATCAAAAAGAAGAAAGTTGTATCGAGTTGAAATAAGAGAGCGAGCGATAAGGGTCGATTGGTTGGACAGTGGTTTTGATGTCGTGTCGAGAGAATAAATAAATAAATAAATAAATAAATAAATAAATGAATTAATAAGTAAATAAATAAAAAAAAAGAGATATAAAGAAAATAAATGAAACGAATGAAAAAAGAAAAAAAAAGAAGAAGAATTATAAAGTGTAAAAGAAATTATCGATTCCACGTGCGGGGGAGTCGCGAGATAAGATTAAATTTGTTGTTTCTACGGTAAGGCTCTCACTTCCCAATGGAATACTGAAAGAGTCTTGTCTTCCAAAATAGTAGTGTGAAAAGGGGATGGGTATTGCGAGGAAGGGGAAGAAAGAAAAAAAAAGAAATACCAGCAGAAAAGAAAAGAAAAGAAAAAAAAGAATGAAAGAAAAAGAAATGAGATCGTTTTGACGTTCGATAAACGTGCAGTTGTACGAAATAATATATGCGACAATGCGCAAATAAGATTTTTGTTCTCTATCCAAAAAAAAAGAAAAATAAACAAATAAATACAAGAACGAAAACTCGGAGGATGAATCGAACTTGAGAATTGTATCTCTATTTTCTTTTTTTTTTATTCTTCTTTCGTACTCAAGAAAGACCAAACTTTTTAAATCCATTCCATTGTGAAATAGAGCGAAAAAGAGAAGCGCACTCGTACCTGTATCTAATGTCAAACGCAAGCAAAATACTTACATCGTTACTCCTCGTCACTTCCTATTTCGAAAAATGTTTTATTCATTTTACACCTCCCGTCATCATTTTTTGACATTTTTCGAATTTCACGTTTGTCGTTCAATCTAATAAAAAAAAAAAAAAAAATGACACATTTTTGGCTTCATTATTTGATAGCTTATATTTTTTTTTTATTTGTTTTTTTCTTGTTGTTTATTTATTTATTTATTCTATCTTACGTCATACGAGCACAAACATGAACAGGGTTTTACGTTCTTGTCGTTACGCGATGATATTGAAGTTGTTTTGAGAAAATTTTCAATGGTTTATTCGAAAATTTTCCAATTCATTTTAATATATATTTTTTTTATATGTATATATAATATATAATATATACAAAACATGCAGATTACCAAAAACGTTATTGTAATGATTAAACAAAATTTGCACCTTTGGTTTCTCTCTCTTTCTCTCTGGATTGATCGATCGATGGATGTTCGTTTCTTTGTTTTTATCATAGAAATTAAAACATGCCTATCTATAGCTGGTTCAAATAACAATTTAATGGTCTAGTGGTCAATTAATATACATACACATGTGTATCGATGTATATATCTGTTAGTCATTGTTCTAAAAATTTCACTTTACTATCATTGCTGCATACATATCATTTTCATTTTTTTTTTTTTATTAATTTCTTTTTACTTTATCTTTACTCCTTTTTTTTGTAATGACATTCGAACTCTCCCGTGTGCAAACTGCATATATCATCAATGTATAATGTCATAAAAACAAATAAGTTGTTCGATGAAAAAGCATAGCACGATAACGATAATAGTTATAATAATGATAATAATAGCGACAGCCACTATCGTCATTGTTATTGTCGTAAAGATAAAAACCTAATAACGTTAGACCTCGAATTAATTGCAATTGTCGTTAAAAGTCATTTTTCTTTTGAACGATTTTTATTCCTTCTCCTCATCTATTATCTGTTCCTGATCTAGAAAATCCATAAATATGGGTTTTTATTTATGTCTATATGTTTCTTAAAGGATACCAGGACAGCAGCATAATGTTGAGATAACAAAGAATTTAAGGACCACGTAGATAGTGTTCGTTCTTATTGACGCGTAAAAAAAAAGAATAAAAGAGCAAATTGATTGCATAGAAATTTTATAAAAGATTTAAGATTGATACAAGAGGTAGAAGAGGAAAAAGGGAAAAACAAAGAAATTGGAAGAAGAAGAAGGAGAAAAAAAGAAAGAAAGAAGAGTTAGTTGATAATAATAACTCAAATCTAGTATGCAAAAGCTGAAAGTTTCATTGGCATTTTATCAAATAAGATCGGCCACACTTTTGCCTGCGTAGTTTTTAAATGAGAAATTCTTGGACCATCCTGTACGTGTATGCGCATATACCTGTATACCTATATTTTTCTATCACGGATTCGTCTGTGACTATGTCTACGATGCTTCATTGAGTATTATCGTCGTTAATATCGTCGACTATTTATTATTTTCTATGTAATATTGATTTATAGTCAGATGTGCTCTCGGAAAAAGACATTGATAGATTTAATTTATAAAAAAAAAAAAAAACTTAATCAAAATTAATAATTATCATTATGGGTGATAAATCCAATAAGTAACACATATGTTCCTAATTTCTTAAGTTATTCCTTCCTTTCAATTGCTAACCTGTAAAATTTTGACCAAATACAAGTCCGAGTGTTAATAATGTTATGTAAATTCTAAGAGTATATACATACATATATATATATATATGTATGTATGGTGTGTGTGTGTGTGTGTTCATGAATTTTCCGAGGCACGAGGTTTCGTTATGTAAATTATTATGTAAAAATTATGTATTCGTCACGCGCTGGTCGACGTGACGACGTGTACTCGCACCATTAAAGATTCAATAAATGTGTTTAATTATGAAAATCCTATCTCTCTTTTATAGATCAGTTATACAACTAACATAGTCGATGTTAAAGCATGAACTTTTTACTTTTTTTTGTTCACGAGAAGTATCTTATATATTCAATTGTCGATAGTAATTGGTTGATAAATAGCCGATTTAATTAAGAAAAAAAAACAAAAATGGAACATACGATTTTTAACGGATATTTTTCCTTTTTTTTTTTTATCATTTACATGCAACCAGAGACGATTGCTTTAGGTTTTTATTTTTTTATTTTAATAACTCGATGTAAATAAAGTAATTATTTTTACGAAGAAAAAGTATTTGTATTACTTATTATTTGGAAAAAAAAGAAAGGAAACAAATTTTATTATTAAAAAAAAACAAATATTGTTGAAAATCATCTCGTGTACAAAAAAACAAAAGTTTCTTTATCTCTTTACTCTCAAAGGCAAAAGGTCAAGCCGGATGATATTTAAAAGTAAAAAATATGACTTTTATAAAAAGAAGCAACGATAGCTGTGCCGACTTTAGAAAGGGAGGATAAACTTAGGTCGATTCTTTAAAGGTCGTTAAGAAGTCCTGTCTAGAAGGGCTAACATTCTTCTTATTACTTTAGTTATAATATCTTGGCTGCTCGTTAAAGCCACCTAGGTAATATTTAATGCAAATAAGATAAAAATAAGATGAATCTGGAAGTGAGATGAAACTGGAAGACGTTTAAGTTGTTATTGAGTATATAGATAAGAATAATCCTGATTATCGTCTTATCGCGTTAGACATCGGTTTACAGTCGACGATGAGTTTATTCTCTTATTAATAAACGAAATCACTTTTCTCAAAGTTGATTTTTTCGATTTTTAACAACCATTTGAAATTGTTCAGTAGTAAAATTGTCTTGATTTTAATCGATTTAGACAATAAATAATTGATATTGAATTTCATCGTTCTTTTTACCGATAAGAATTTAAAATATTTAATACTTCAAATATATTGATGATATCGATTCAACTGTTTAAAATAAAAAAAAAGATAAAAAATTTGGACGAAGCCAATTGACAGACTACTACTATTTTATAATGGATAACGCATTTCACATGAGTTTATTATCTTATCACATGAAAATTTCCAAAAAGAGAACGATAACGTATTTTTCTACTATAACGTATACTTATACTATCTATTTTCTTGATAATTGATTGCGGCAGCTGTCATCTTAACGACCTTCATTAAGAAAATTGATTCTGCATTACGACGATTGCAGAACGAACCTAAATGATTAAATATTTTCCAACCTATCCTTTGTTATACATAGAAGAGGATATTTCTCAGGAAATTTTCTCGGAAATGTTCATATTGCCAGTAGCAAGAGGAAAAACATTTAATTCATTTTTGAAGGAATCGAGGAAAAAATAAGCTAAACTGTCGAGAGTATTGAATCACTCGAGCAACTTCATAAATTACTTTTCTAGAAAAATTATTTCTTTTAATAATATACCATCTTAATTTTTTAGATTTCTGTGAGTGTTTGAAAAAAATTTTTTTCCATAAAAATTCAGGAGAATTAAAAAAATGAAATAAAAGATAGATAATTAGATTGGTATGAAAAGAATCAGTACTGCCTACCGATAGAATCGTGTCCAATTTGTCGGATAAATTAGAATATATTGAGTTTACGAGTGAAGTTTCAACGTTAAAAGAAGGTAATAGAGAGAGAGAGAGAGAGAGAGAGAGAGAGAGAGAGAGAGAGAGAGAGAGAGAGAGAGAACGAGAGAGAAAGAGAGAGAGAGAAAGAGAGAGAACGAGAAAAGAAAAACAACAAAATAAATAAAAATGAGGGAAAGGGAAAAGTTGTTTGGTGTTACCCGCGTCTCGTTGACTCAAAATAATTGAACTTGTTGGCGGGCTGTCCCATTGGGGGAAAGAGATTTACAAATAGAAGGCGACCGTTTGATAAACGATCGAAATTGTTGAGAATCTTTCGAAGCGCGAAACGTGAATGCCTCGCCCCAATTCCCAATCATCTGCCGACAGACTGAGTTCCACTATTGGAAAACATCATTCGTCGTGTACGATCTACCGCAAGAATTTCTATGAAATATATTTGTATAGAAATGTTCAACTCGGAGAGATATCTCTCCTAGAGGTCAAAGGCGATGAGAATCGCATTGGGAATCATAATCTAAAGATACAAAATTTTTTTGAGTATCTTTCGCGAGATCAATATTATAATACTTATCTTTCCTTTTATTTCTATTGAGTATCTCGATTGGAAATTATTATGTCAAGAATTGGAAATACGCAGAGAAAGAGAAAGAGAGAGATAGCGAGAGAGAGATAGATAGAGAGAGAGAGAGAGAGAGAGAGAGAGAGAGATAATACAGGTACTTATTAAGTTCACATAACTGTTATAATTATGAATTAATTTATAGGGTAATTAAGATGATTATAGATCACTACGATAACAAGCAAGGATTATACCAATTAATGAAGATACTAAGAAAGTAACTTAAGCGAATAATTCAGGAAATAATTTGAAATTAGTTTGATATAGTTACTACTGTTGTTTTTATCAGATTTTGAAAAAGTGAGCGTTAACGCTCAGATTTTCGAAGGATATTAAATTTCATCGTAATCAACGAAAGAAATTCTGATGAAAAAATTTATACTCAAATTTTATATATTAAAATTTTATATATTAAAGTTCTTAACTACGAAATCAATTAACCGATCCACGAAAATGAAATTGATATATTCTGGTCTTGACCAAATCCAATGCTTTGATTTACGAAGGGATCAACTTCGTACCAGTTAAAGGGTATAGCGCGAAATCTGTAATGGTTTTCTGGGTGGAAATTTGATTCTTTTTGATCGAAATTAAAAAATGCATTTTTAGCTGCTTTGTCGTCGTCGTCCCGAGCAAATATTTGCTCTGCTGAAAAATTCATCGAATTTTTAACTAAATAAATAAAAAATATTCGTCGTCACGTTCATCCTAGAAATATCGTTAATTTTTGACAAATATTCTATAAGACATCTTCAGAAGAGGAAAGGAGGAGTGTTACCATTATTATTATGTAATACTAATATAATTATACGTATATATATATATATATATTTTTTTTTTTTTCTTTTTTTTCGGTAAGAGAATTTGTCAAACCTGCATTCAAAAAATATAACAATATGAATGAAGATATCCACATGAAACAATTATTGTATTAGATAATTAACAATTATGATATACATATATGATCAGGCAAGTAACAATAGAATTTCGTAGACCTTTCCTTTGTGTGTTCGATCAAAGGAGACTGTCGTATTACAAAGTTATCATCTGACAAAATGATCAGTATTATATAGGTACATAATATCTCGAAAGCTTCTCTCTAAGGAACACCGAATAATAATTTCCTTTGTCTAAAACGCTTGCATTAGACTTTGATGATATCTTAAAGTAGCTACATAAGGATAGTTTTCATTATTAATAAAAATAGAACGATATCTTTCAAGCATTTGTCTTTTAAAGAACTTGTTAAAAAAGCTTCACTTTATTTTCTCAATTTATCCGTTCATTCATCCGTGTTATGTTCATATTAGAGAAGTACCGAACGATCGACGTTGGTTCGTTACCTACCTTCACGTGTTACCGTTCGATGACAAAAGAACTTCCTGTACCCTTAAGATCCTCTAGCAATTTCTCCGTGAAAGGACCAGAATAACGAGCTTTGATTTTATTACCTGACTCCATCGTCCTTCTCTTGTTACGAGTGTAACATGAAATTAGTGATACCATAATATTTGAGTTATGAATATAAGGTTCCTTAGACCAATAGACAAAGATAAAGAGAAAGAGAGAGAGCTAGCGAGTGTCTCAGAAAGCTAATATAATCGGTCTTGTAGCGTATAGTAGTTACCAATGCACAACTAGGACTCCCTTTAGACGCCATTATCCTGAATGCATTTTGCTTCCATCTCTCCTTTCTCTCCTCAGACTCTATCTTGAGCAGAAGCTGGCAGCCATGAAGCTACTGGCTGCGTTCAACAGATAACACGCTATTGGCGTGAGCTCTCAATTTTCGACGACGATGCTTCTTTTATCTTCGTTTTTCTCTCTTTCTCTCTCTCTCTCTTTCTCTTCCTCTATTTCTCTGTCTTTCTCTTCATCCGTAATGTAAATAGGTACATACATTCTGGATAAAACGTGAACCATAAAATATGATCAATTGCAAGTTGATTGTTTAAAAATTTCCATTTATTGAAGAATTTAGAGGTAATTATGATAATTTATAAAAGCTGATCCGTCAATTATGTAAATAAAAGTATGTATATAATAATTAATTAGATATATAATTATAAAAAAATGAATGGATATTTAATAGATTTAATGTATATATCTATATGAAGTAATAGATGATATATTAAAATAAAAAAATAAATAAATTATGTAGGCTAGTTAGAAATATATAGCCTAATCTACACTCTGACTCTGAAGCTTTAATAAACAAATACTATTCTCACGAATAAGCATATTCTATTATACAGGAAATTATTGATCAGATGAGATTCGTGAGAGTAGGTCTTCGTTGTTCACGACGCTCGTCGTTATCGATAAACCAGTTCATGTCATCGAATTACGCTCAACACGAAATAATGCATTATAGTCGTAACATAATATAAAACTATATCACGTATTTATTTGCTTCGTCTTTATTTGAGAAATTGGTTTTTTTATGTTTATATTTGGTAACTACGATGAATAAAGTCAAATTTATTTTTTGTTTTATTTGCTTATGATAGTATGTGAGTTAATTTCGAAACAATGCTTTCGTCCAAACAACTGTATATTCGCTTAAATATCATTCGAATCGTTATTGCAATAATATCAGTAAATAATTCAATGTTTGTATAATTGTAATAATTAAACGTTTGTCTCGATTTATTTTTTAGAAAATGTTAAAAGTGTAAAATTGAAACGAGTGACTATTAATATCCACGAGTACTCGATAATTTTTCTTTTTTCTTTTTTCTTTTTTTTCTAGTCCGTAGCATATTCTTTTTTGTTTGTTTTTTCGTTTCTTCTTTTCACGACGCTATGACATTTTTTCTCATTCATGGATTTCATATATTCTTATCATCTGTAAATTAATATTATCGTAAATACGTGACATGCCTAGTTCGCTTTCATTAACCCGCTTGCCTCGGCGTTATTCATCGAAAATTGTTAATGGATACGTAGAAGTAGGCAAGTTATTTACAGCCTCAATTATCGATAAATAAATTAGCTGTATCGTATTAGTATAGTTATAGGCTAGGCTTAACATAACGACAATTTATGTCATAGTTTAATATTCCTTTAAAAAGTGGAATTCGAAAATGAATTCATATAAATAATAAACTGAAAATTTGTCAATTTTTTGAATATATGCATTACTCAAATAAATGAATATTGTTTTTCTTTTTAATTGCTTGTGTACATGCATATATGTAGATATTGCTTCATTTGAAAGAAATATATAATTGTGAATATTTTATCCACCTAGAACCATGTATCTTTTTCCTCTAACGTTTGCTTCTAATTTCAATAAACAAAAATAAAAAAAAAGATCAGTTACAGTTGCTTAAATCTTCAGAGATTTTTTTAAATATATCTCATAAACTAATCCTTTCATTTAAATTGTTTTTTATTCAAAAAACCGCACGAGGAATCAATTTCAGCAAATAAAAAATAATGTAGGATTTCATTAAAAAAACAGTATCGATGATCTCAATATCTGGTAAAAAGAAGAAATAATCTTCAGAAAAAATTTGTTTCCATTGCCAGATATGTGTCTTGAAACAGCGTAATCTCTTCTTGAGCATTTTTTCTTTTTTCCATAAAAATTATAATTGAGGGAAATATTTCAGGTGATAATGTTACATCCGTAGTATAATAATGTCTAGAGATTGACTTTTTATTATCGTTAGAAACTACGATGCTGATTATTCTTTTGACAAATTGGTTTCAAATTTGAAAACTTAACAAAATACGGGGAAAAATCGGGGGAAAAGAGGTCAACAACGTCCGATCGATTTTCAAGAATTCTAAGACAACGAAAAAAAAAAGTGATACGTGTTAAGAATTATCTCGTCCGAGAGAATCGGTTCTACATCGTTTAAAGAATCTAGCCTGAAGGGAAGAGAAAATAAGATTTAACGGGTAGGATGAGTTCGAGTTATCGATGCGCATGGAAATTTTGATCAAAGGCGAATGTTTGTAAGGCTCGGTTCGGTGAAGGAGAGAAATAAAGAGAGAGAGAGAGAGAGAGAGAGAGAGAGAGAGAGAGAGAGAGAAAGAGAGAGAGAGAGAGAGACAGAGAAAGAGTAAGAGAGAGAGAGAGATAAAGAGAGGGAGGGAGAGAAAGGGGAGAAGGAGAGAAAGAGAGCGAGAAAGAGAGGGAGGGAGAGAAAGGGGAGAAGGAGAGAAAGAGAGCGAGAAAGAGTGGTAAGGGAGGTTAAAGGTGGATGCGGATCGATGTTGAGAATATAACTGTGAGCGATTTTCATTTCTTCGTACAATATTTCAATGGTATAGCAAATATAACTATAAGCATAGGAATAATGAAGAAAGGAAGAAAGAACGAAAGTATGTGGATTTAATATTTTATAGGGAAATGGATTATTACAAAAGATTTATTAAGATATATTTATGTTTATATGTTTCTAATATGTATTATGAAATATAAAATATAAATGTGAAATGTATTCTATTTAATAGACCGATAATCTTGAGTCAATAGAGTATAAAAATAAATACACAAAGCGAATGCATAAATATATGGGATATATATTCTTCTCTGTATATGGGATAGATGCTAGAATGGAATAATATTTTTGATAACCTTCGATAAAGGACCACGTGTGTTTTACGTCACTATTCATAAACATATTGAAATCTACGATATTGGTTACGCTTATCACGTTTTCCATAGAGAATGTCAATACTTTTCAGAGGACTATAGATGCGAATGTTGTATAACGATCAATCGATTGCTGTCCGATGTCCATGGTAACCGTATGACGGTTATCAGAACACGTCTTTTCAATAATGTTTTCAATTCTTCTCAACTGTGATACTTGATATTGGATACGTCAGTAAAGAGGAAAGAATGTTGAAAAAATATGTTGATTTGATAAATTAAAAAAAGAAAAAAAAAATAGTGGCTCTTTCAGAACTTCGAGAATAAAAATTAAAATTTTTATCCATATTTTTGAATGACTTTTATTTTTATCATTGTTTATGAAAAATTAGTAATTTTTAGTAATTTTTTTTTTCTTTATCATTTCTAACACCTCTATACATAAATTAGAAATTGTTTCTTTTTTCTTGCTAATTGTTTCAATTCTTCTTGCTAAGTCATCAATGTTTTATCAATAGATTAAATTTGAATCAATGTTGCAAATATCATACGAGTGCAAAAATTTTCTTTACCTTTACTCGGTACATCAATTGTATAAAGTCGAAGAGCTTTATCGTCAGTTGCTACAATTTCTTGACTATCGATACATTGAAAATTGATATATAAATAATAAAAATCTTTTGATAGAAAAAAAGAACTAAACATATACATATTCGTATAAGTGGAGTGTACTTGGAGCGATAAAAGAAAAAATTAATTAAACACAGATTATTAAACAAAACTCAATAAAAGAATTAATTGGCAAGAATTTTCGTGCTAGTACCTAAAGAAAAATCTTTCTATCCAAGAGAAAAACTGACATAACAAAGTCAAAAGAAATTAATCGTAAAATAATAGAAATTAATTGTAAAATAATATAAAATACAGAGAGTGGACCAAAAGTTCTTAGATGATTTTCAAAATGAATCGACTTTCTATGTTAACCTTTTTCTTTTTTTTTTTCAGATTGTAAAATTACAAGAACAATTTGTAAAAATTATAAGTCTATCTACACAACCTTTAGAAGTCTCGAAAAAGTATTAATTGACATGTAAAAGAAATTATACGCTAAAAAGTTTTGGCTCACGTTAGGAACATTGGACACATTAAATATATTTGTTTTGATGAAGAAATCAGATTTTAGACGAGGTATAGGATAGGTCACAAGTTTTTGTAAAAGAAAAAAGTTATCTTGAGATTTGTAAAAGTTTATTGATCGTCGTTGCTTTCTCGTGGAACGCATTAATTTGATCGTTGCGAACGAACTTAAGAGCTAAGCGTTTAAAGTTAGGAAAACTGCGTTAACTCGATGATTATTCGTCAGTTTTATAATTTCCCCTTATTTATTATATTTTTCGTTGAACTTTAATTAAAACGATCGGATCGTTCGCTCGATCGTTTTACGCACGGGAATTACACGCAGATCCGCTTTATTTCGTAACGCGTACGAGAAAAACTCGCTTGCAGGATAAATTACTTCGGCCTTTTGTCAGGCTAACAATAATCCTGTGCGATAACAACGCATTTTAACAACGCGCGAGTGCGCCTCTCGGTCGAACGAGAATGCGATGAGATTTTTATAAACTCTATGAATGCTTCTTCAATTGTTAAATATTGTATACGCGTAAAAAAGAAAAAAAGAAAAGAAAGAAAAGAATTACTTATGTAAATTTTTTAAGATTTGAAACTGAATATGTCTGACTTTTAAGACCTTTGACTTGTTACACGATCTGATGTAACTATTTTTAATGTTGTGAACGTCATTTTTATAAAATTATTCCGAACATTTGTGTACTATCATGTGTATGTAAATGTGAAATAAATCTTTTTCACTCATTTCATCGATCTTGTCATATTAATTATCGATATACGTCAAAGTAATTTTATTTTATTGAAAAGATTAAATTTCTTTTTCTTTCTTTTTTTTTTTTTTTTTTTTTTTTTAATGATCCCAAAAGAAATCACGTTTACAATATGACGATCGCATTCTCAAATTATAATTATTCTCTCTTAATTATCCTTTATCTCGTATCGTTACTGCATCATACAGTTTCTACAAATCATTTTTGTCTACATATATGCATATACTTACGTATACACATGATTTATGGAAATAAAATTCGTTTAATTAAGAAATCAAAAACTTTGAGAGTGGAATATAGAAATAAGTGATTGGAGCTAATGGTACGTTTGAGTTTACGTAAATATTCTATAATTGAGCAGAGTATATCTCTTATTCGATTGAGAGACTTCATGAACGACATTCGTCTTATTTCCTAAAGCTCGATATTACCGTGGAAAAAAAAAGAAAACAAAAAAAAAGGAAAGGAACAATCATGTGTTATCTTATATACTCGCCGTTTTCGTTTCGTTCATTTACAAGCAATTCGTATACAATTCGTTTAATCCTATGCGGACGATCGATTCCATATACATATACCTATAAGTTTAATCTAAATAATTAACGTACATATAATTCGACAGAAAAAATCGACGACATGATCAATACGTTCATATATATATATATATATATATACGTAATATGTGTTTATTAAATCTTTAATACCTATAGTTTTGACATAAGCATAAATTATAAATATCTACGTTCTTTTTTGAAAGAATACCATCATATATCGCTAAGTTATAAATTGTTTCTTTTTTTCCGCAAAGGGTTAAACGCAAAGATCCGGCCAAATG